TCTTCACCGNTATATATATATATATATATATATATATATATATATATATATATATATATATATATATATATATATATATATAAATATTGTATGAATTCTACCGAATGTTTGGCGTTAATATGTTTGTAATTGGATTTTTCGATTTTTGGTGAACGTTATTAAAATTCAAAATAAACTTATTTTCCGAATTCATGCTGCAAATAAGACCATATTTCGATTCCGAATGAATCATCATCAGTGCGGTTTAGTTTATATAGGGAAATATTGACTTTGTCAAAGTGAACTTAGATGTCGAAAAAACCAATTACAAACATATTAACGCCAAATATTCGGTAGAATTTATAGAATATTGTAAATATATATATAAACCGGGCGTTCAGACACTCTTCCGATATTGGAAATCGTGACGCTCAATTAAAAAGCGTAAGTGTTAAAGCGTAATCACCTAACATATGAATTTAATTGCCCCTTTGACAACTGTACACGTCAACATGACTCATATGTCGGGATTACTACTACCTCACTGACTAGAAGGCTTACGATGCATAAACAGAGTGGTGCTATCAAATCTTATTTGGACTCAACACACTCAATCACTATAAGCCGTGAAATCCTCGACAGCAACATCAAAGTAATATACCAGAACACCAACTACACGCATCTTAAAATTGCAGAAGCAGTCCTAATTGACATCATTTATTTTATTTATTTAATTAATTTTATTTATTAACGTGCAGTCAAGACAAATACGGGTGAAGGCAAATTGAAGTAATGGCTTTCGTGAATCGTCTTTGAACACATTCCACTTTGCATACTTGATATTGATAATAAGGACTCCAAACGGATGAAAATTATTTTGACAAAGGACGAACGTAAGTGCAGAAGGCTTTGGTAATTAGCTCTTTATCTCTTGATGTGAAACATTTGCTGATTAGACGAGCACGAGTAGAAGCTCTGTGTGTGATATCGTTAATGTGATGATTAAATTTCAATTGATTATCGAAGGTTACGCCGAGATCTTTAAAATACTCAACAGGCGTTAAAGCGTGGTGATCAATTGAGATGCTGACTAAAAACGAGCACAGACAACATTTGTTGGGAGAAAGTGGTAGCTGCCACCTGTTACTCCATACAACAATGTTGTCGATGACCTGTTGTAACTGTACGGAATTTGATGAACTGATATATAATTTGATGTCATCAGCAAAAAGTAGCATAGATACAGGGTTTGATGAAATGCAATCTTCGATGTCGTTGATAAACATTAAAAATAGATTGGGTTCCAACACGCTTCCCTGAATAACACCACTAGACAGTGCATTGGAATTTGATAGTCTATTTTAAATTCAAACGAATTGAGAACGGCCATGTAAAAAATCAGCCGTCCACAAGAGCAAGCTACCAGACACCCCATAAGCCTTTAATTTGCAAACCAGTTTGGCATGCGAAACGGAATCGAATGCTTTTTGGGAGTCAAGATAGACTGTGTCGCATCTTTCCTTTTGTTGACGAATTGATAACAGATTGCTTAAAAATTTAAGGAGGTTGGTAGAAGTTGATCTCGCAGGCAAAATCCGTATTGGAAATTGGAGATTAAATTATTATCTAGTAAGTGAGATAATATATTCTTGTTGATGATTTTCTCCATAACCCGGCATGATGAACAGGTGAGTGATATTGGTCGGTAGTAGCCTGAGGGATTGGTTGGACCTTTCTTATGAATAGGAGTAATAAAAGCTGTTTTCCATTTTGTTGTTAGAGAATTAGTTTTAAATGTTATGTCAAATATGTGACACAATGGAAGAGCCAGGCTTGATGCACACATTTTGAGAAGAATGTTTGGTATACCGTCTGGACCTACTGAAAATGTTTTTATTGAAATTACGAAGAACGAAATAAACTGTATGTGGAGTGAAACAAATGTCTTCTATTGATTCTGTAGTACGGTTTGATAGCGAACTATTCTGTTGTCGTCAATCGTGAAAACTGATCCAAAATATTCGTTGAATGTATTAGCTATCTCAATGGGATCATTAGTTACATTGTTATTTACATTATTAATTCTCAAGCTGGTAATCTGAGGTTTAGAAAACAGTTTATTGTTGACGTAATGATAAAAACTTTGGATATTCGCTTTTGATAACAACTTTTGTTCTTTATTTTTGTGATATGAGTTGGCTAAATTGGAGCACTTCTTAGATAACTTCAGATATTGGTCTTTATCGACTGGATCTGAACTTAGTTTCCATTTTTTCCAAAAATAGAGTTTTCCTTTGTAAAATAAACGAAGTGATTTTGGAATTGGATTTTTTGGCGGTAGCTGGGTCACGACAAATCATGGAAACAAAAATTGACATTGCAAGATGGATTATTTGCTCAAAAGTTTCCCAGCACATGTCGAAATTGAAGCAGTATTGAAAACAATCGTCCCAATTTATGCTAGACAAATAATCATTTAAACAATTTTAATTAGCCCTGTTGAAATCTGGAAAATATGTTTTGTTGAGCGGATCAATACTTGGTGGCTTGTCGATGGTGCAATTGATTTGAAATGTAATAATGTTGTAATCACTCGAGGCACTCTGGTGTTGGTTAAAGCCAATCGAAGAGGTCTGATCTTAACGAAAGGGCTGGTCTTTTTTTGGGTCGTCCAATTTGATTTTGTCACCGCTTGATTTTGCGAGGCGTCGTGATTGTCGTTTGAGGAATGTTTACTCGGCCTGTCTTCTAGACAGGTCACGATTGATGAAAATGTTTTTTGTGTCGGGCAATGAGCGTAGCAGCCTTGATGAGGAAATCAGATCATCAACTGCAAATAGACCGGACAATGTTACACATATTTTTGAGGTGCCTATACGACGCGTTTTTATTATTTGTGGTTTCACCGTCAAATGTTTTTCGCACAAGTCCAAAGCCATTTCTCTTTCATTAACCCCAGTTTATTGAACAAGTCCAGAAATAATTACATTGTTGGCCCGATTCTCTTCATCTTTCTTCTCCAGTTCAACTGTTCACAGAGTCTTTGTCATTTGCTCAATCATTGGCGTTTCGTTGATCTTCAGTATCTGAATTTGACATTGGGCAATATTGGTGCCCAATGTGGACATGGCTGTGTGGAGCTGATTCATCGAATCCGTCACTGCATCTGACATGCTTCGGACCGCTCGCTCAAAACTATTGCCGAGGGCCTCCATTCGAAGTAACGTTGATTCGAAGAGTTTGCTCATTAATCCTTCAGAATGAGCCAATGATTTGCGCAAGTCTTCGTTTGACCTTTCGATGACTGTTGTAAGACTCGAGTCGAACTTCTCAAATATTTTTTCAAGGTTGCCGTCGGATAGTGCTATCACCCTAACCAGGTTTTCATTTGACTTATCTAGAATTTTAGTAACAATATTCTCAAATGGCTCAACAGAAAAAGTTTTGGCCATGATTGTATATGCAGCCTGCAAGACGTCACTAAACTAACCAACGTAAATCGTAAAACGTAAAAGTTGAAAATTATTGAAATTGATAGTAATATTAATTTTATGTCAAAATTAATTTGGGTAATAAATTACTACGAGTTCACTAAAAAAAGACGTATTCATTGGAAACGATAGAAAATAACTTAAAACGAGATAGTTTAGAGAAAAATAAATGTTTACATCCATCCGCCAATAAATCAAAAATAAGTATACAACAAAAATGACAACCTTACTCTCAACCCGGCTCTTAATGAACAATGAAACAAAGAAGTAATAAAAACTAGCATTGTAAATAATGACAAAGCGGAATATGATGCTATCGATGAAGAAAAGGAAACCAACGAAGATGGACCAGCCAATAAAGAAATCTGACACCTTATTTCCATCTAAGTTCATTTTCACAAAGTAAATATTTCTCTATAATCAACTTGCACTGATGATGATTCATTCTGAATCGAAATATGGCCATATTTTCCAGCATGAATTTGGAAAATAAGTTTATTTTGAATTTTAATAAACTAAACGTTCTCCAAAAAACTTTGTGAGAAAAATATATTGCTATACCGTCCATTGCTATAACGTCTATTTGCTGATATAGTGTTTTACACGGGCCAACGAAAGGCTGTACTTATATTCTTAGCAGCGCAACTAGTTCATTTTTTGGAATTGGTAGTGGTGAATGACGGGAATTGTGTATTAAATCTATTATTATGCTGATTGTGTCCTCTACAGGGACATTTGTATAGAGTGACTCCACATTCAAAGATGTTATTTTGGTGTTAATGGATGTTTTTGTCTTAGACAATAAATCTATGTATCCCCTATTTGATTTCAGGTTATAGTTGTTAGAATTTAATTGTTTTGTTGAGCATTTTTGCATTGGGGTAAGTGATCGCAGGTCTTTGGCTAATTATTCGTTGTTAGCCTTATGCGTCTTGACCGTACCGTGTGCATATCCTGGTTCATATTCATCCGTGAGTATGGGTATTTTCTTGAGTATGGGTATTGAGTATGGGTATTTTCTTGAGTATGGGTATTGAGTATGGGTATTCCCTTCTGTTTTGTCATTGATTCTGCTGATGATCTCATTCAACTTTGTCTTAGTCTTAGCAGTTGGATCACTGCTAATCTTAATAAGTTTGTCAGTGTCACCGAAAATGTCATTCAGTTTATCATTATAATCATCTCTATCCATAATGACATACATTGGGGTTTTGTCAGCTTTTTGGATGATATTGGTATTTATATTATTTAAAGTTGCCGCAGCATCGATCAATTCCTTCGTAAGAATCTCGCTTTCAAAATTACCTCACAACTTTTTGTTTTCAGCTTTTAGGTCGTTAACAACGTTTGTGCTGAGTGTGTTGTGTTTTTGGCTTTCTATTTGGTTAAGTTGTCCATTAATTTTTCAATTTCAATTTTTTTTTGAAGACTCTTAGATTTTCTCATGTGATGACAATTGTGTCCAAGGTTAAGAAGGTTGTAAAACTAATTAAATGAGCGTTAAATATTCACTTTAAATAAACAAGGAAGTAGAGGCACATACACAACATATCAATTTGTGTATGTTGGTATAGGTGGTACAGGTATGGGTATACCGAAGATGGTGTTCCATACATAATTATATATATATATACATAATTATATATATATATGTGTGTGTGTGTGTGTTAATGCGTGTGTGTATGTGTGTGTGAGCGCGCGTGTGTATGTTGTATCTCTAAAAAAAATGCATACTTTTTATTCAACAGTTGTAAAAGTGTTTCAATTACCACGAACATGAATTTTATTTCTACATTAAGAAATGATTTGGATGCTAAGAACAATCAGGTTAGTCATTAAAAACTGACCAAATTATTAAAGTTTAGCGCATCCTTGTTATAAAAACAAAGCGAACACGGCCAGCCTTTAAAAGTTTTAAGTACAAAAAATCTTTTGATAGTTATTCTGCTAATAATTTAGTAAAACTTTATTGCTGAGTAGGGCTACATCGGAGCTAAAAGATTTTTAACATGTGCTAGTCATCATTCATCATAAATTTATATTTGACGTTTTAATTTTTTTTATTAATTGTATCCAATAATTTAATACAAATGTTATAGGTTAGAACGTAAAAATAATTTTATTAAATTGTAATGAATGGATACGAAGCCATTACATAAACTAAAAAAATTAATCTGCTGCATTAATTAACAAAGTCAATTTGTCAATGTTTAACGGATCTGTCACTCCAGTGACAAACTGTTTAAAATAGAGACTTTTATGGATTCAGCTACACACACGAAAACTGTCATTAAAACATGCAATGCAATGCCAATCATTTCTCAAAGATCCATACACTTTTGCCATAGACACCTTAAATTAAGGATTGACGGCGCTCGGTATTTCTAACTTGGGTTCATCGCGAAACTTGAGTTCATTTTTCATAGAGGTCAAACCACTTCACCAAATAACGTAAACCCTAAACACCTCCAACAAAGGTGTTTTATATAAACAAACTTGTGTACATTGAAATATTTTATTAAAAACGAAAGCTATTTTGTAAACAAATTTTCATATTTTTCTGGTGTTTTTTATCAAAATCTTCTAAACTTTCTATCACCTGATGCAATTTTGTTAATGTTAAGTAGCATATTGTATGCACATGAAATGTTCACCGTACTTTGCCTGTACCACCTGTGATAATAGTAATTATTATTTATTTAATTATTATTATCAATTTAATTATTAAGAGTAAAATGTTTTTCAAATTTTTTATTTTTTTAAGTGTCGCAACTTTATATTCATTTGGAATTTTCTGCTGTTGAACCTAACTCATTCTCCCGATCGCTTTTATCAAGAACTTCAGTTTTCATCAACAAACAAGCCATTGTTTTACAAGCTCTTCCGTCATAAGCAACTGAAGTTCTTTCATGACCACCAGATACTATATCAAACTTTGAAAGTTGTTATAGACGGTTAAACTTTGGCAACGTCAAGAACGTCAGTGATATCGATGTAAAAATTTCCACCGCACCGTTGCCTGGCATTACCAAAAAACCTTTCTAAAGGATCTTGACCAAATGCTGAAAGCAACACATACAGAAACTGATGATTGTTTTCCGTTGCCTGGCATTACCATAAAACCTTTCTAAACGAAAACGGTACCCAAACAGCAGCGATGTCTAATTTGGTCGTCGCTACAAATGCATCAGCTGTAAATTTTGTGAGATTGCATTGTCGTACTTCTTCTTTTTTGTGCCTTATCTTTTTAGGTCATTGGCAACCATTCACTTGCACAAAACCAATCTTTAATCCTCTGTAAGAGTAGAAATTGAGTGATATTTAACAAGTGAAAAAAAACTTCACAAATGTTATTTGTTGTTGACCGCAATTTCTTTTTCCTGCAATCTTTCCAGTAGTTGTTGGATTTTCCATTCTTTTCTTCCACATGATGTGACCAAAAAACTTTATCTGCCCCGATCGGATTATCTGTAGTAATTTCCTCTTTTCATAACCTTTTAGCACATCCTTATTCGAAGTATGAGAGGTCCAACTAATTTTCATAATTCTTCTCAAAAACCACATCTCAGCCGCGTTAATCTTTTTTCCATTTTTTTAGAAATTGTCCAGAACTCAGAGCCGTAACTTAGCACAGGAAAAATGTAACACCCTAACAGTTTTAATTTTGGTGATATTCTGATTTTACTGTTGGTGAGGATGTTTTACATTTTATAATATGCATCTTTTGCCATAGATATTTTTCTTTTGATATCCATATCACATTTACAACTTGCAGTTTTTTTGTCAAGGTAAGTAACGCTGCTACTGTTTTTTCATGTAAAGATTAACACATCAAAAGTACACTCTGACGTTGCAAGAATTTGGGATGTGCTGATGTTTAGTGAAACTTACAACTGTATGCAGTCAAACTGACCATCTTCAGTAAAATTTAGGTCCCAGTGATCTAGTTATTTTGAATGTTTTTAAATACACACACATAGTCACATAGACCTGGAAGATTCACCGATCCTGGACCACCAAGGCTGTTTTACAGTGATTGATTTGCACACGATAGATATAATGCAATTGTGAAAAGCGGAAAAACAGATTCAACAGCTTCAAACAAATAACACTGAATTTTTTGTGCATTGAGTTTAGTTACAAAAATGACACGAATAATAAAACGTGGTCCACCGTAGAGGCAGATTATCTCAAAAAAATGCTGATGTGGATACATGATCTTTGGCATTTAATCCATACCTCAGACAGAATAGAATAAGTATAAAACAGAACAGCAATAAAACAAAAGATTTATTTTTAAATTTATTTATTCTTCAGCACTTTCATTTATTTAATTGTAACGGTAAGCAAAAAAGCGGTTTTATCCTTTTCTGTATTATCCAGTTCTGTTTTATCCTGTTCTGTTTTATCCTTTATTGTTTTATCTTAGGACCGATAGATTGTGACATTAAAGTTTAAAGTTCATTCGTTTTAAAGCCATGAACTCAAGTTTTGTTATGATTTGTTATTAACCAAAGTTTAAAAAATCGAGCACAAACGCCGTAAATCCCTAATTCAAGGTGTCTATGCCGAGGAACCAAAATCATCAACAGAGCAACAAATCAATGAACACTCTAAATCTTAGATGCACTTCACACACACAAAAATTAACCTCAATAAACAAATATAATATCCAACTATTTTTCCCATCTCAATAATTTAACCTGCAACAAACACAAGTGACACCAACTGTAAGACGAAAGAACGAAATTGCGGTATTCCCAATTTAACCGTGAACTCATTTTACAGTTTGTCTTTTTAATTTTCCTTACTAGAATTTTTTAGGAATTGTTTATTTCATTGAAAATATAATTATTAACATTGATAATAACAGTTCTTTTTTTAATAAATTTGCTTGATAAATTTGGATAAAAATTCTATTTTCAATAAAATGAACAATTTCAAGAAAATTCTAGTAAAGAATATTGAAAAGCCATACTAATACATATAAAAGCAATATATATATATATATATATATATATATATATATATATATATATATATATATATATAATATAATATATATATATATATATATATATAAGTAAATAGACGGTGTAACAATGGAAGTTCGCTTCGCAAACTTCTATCTTGGACATATCGAAGAAATGCTATTTAAAGAAGAACCAAAGTTAAAGCCTAACATATGCTGCCAAAACGTTGACGATATATTTGTTAAATATGAAGATGAGGATCAAATATAAAAACTTCTACAACAACTAAATTCATCATAATTAAAGTTTACAATAGAAAAATCAACTGACAATAAACAACCATTCCTAGACGTACTAATACAAAATGCGCAAAATGAATTTAAAACCTCAGTATACACTAAAACAACAAACAAATAATGAATGTTGTCAAACATATCTAGAGAGCACGATTTCTGCTTTTGTAAACCGAGCCTATACGCACTCTTATGATGTAGGAAGCAGGAGAACAGAACTAGATAGACTTACTAAACTACTGGATATAAATATCACTTAATAATGGGTATAAAAATTTCATGAACTAGAAAATAATAGAACGCAAAGAACAAAAAATCAGCAACAACAATGTAACCAACAATAGTAACAAAAAGAATCATAAGCAATCAACAAGAATGATAGTATTAAACTACGAATATACTACTCCAAACAAAGAACGTCATCTCTTGTGATGAAAAACAACTGCACTAGTAAACTAGAATTGATAACGGATCATAACCATCTAATATATTTGTACAAATTTAATATTGGTGAGTGTAGGCACCATAATTCTGAATATATTGGCATGACGACGACCAAGTTATCGAGAAAACTAACGATGCACGTACAAACTGGTGCTATAAAGAATCACATGAAAGAGAAACACAAAACTAAAATTATTAAATCTTGGACCACAATGTCAAAATCTTACATTACAATAACAACCATTATAATTTACTACTAGCCAAATCATTTTTTCATAGAACAAAGTCATTCGGTAATAAATATTCAATAACGTTCAATTAGATTTCTCCCACTAATAAATTTAGAAACAGAGGAATCATCGATAATGAAAACATATAAAAGTGTTATATTTATTGATAATGAAAACTCGTAAAAGTGTTATATTTAACGATGTTGAAGATTGTAAAACTAAGTATTAACCTTAAACAAGCAAGGAATCAACAAAGTAGAGTAGAGACAATATATGTTTGAGTATCTGAGCTCAAACACAACACATTAATTTGAACACCGAAGATGGTATAGGAATACCAAAAAATCTTTTCTGTTCTATCATGCATAAAATAAACAAAAATTTGGTTTTGAATTAAATAAACTTGAAAATGATTTACGATCAACCGTTAGAAAAATCGAAAAAGTTAAACTGGAAGTTAACTAACGCCGAACATTTTCATCAATAATATATATATATATATATATATATAAATAAATATATATATATATATATATAATGATATATATATATATATATATATACATGTTATATATGTTGGTAATAGACCATAATTTTTACAATATTCTATAAATGTTACCAAATGTTTGGCGTTAATACGTTTGTAGTTCGTTTTTTCGATTTTTATCACTAAAGTTTTTTGGAGAACGTTTAGTTTATTAAAATTGAAAATAAACTTATTTTCCAAATTTATGCTGCAAATAAGGCCATATTTCGATTCCGAATGAATCATTTTTAGTAAAAAGACGTCTCACCTAAGCGTAATCACGTAACATATGAATTTAATTGCCCCTTTGACTGCTGTGCACGTCAACATGACTCATATATCGGGATTACTACTACCTAACTGACTAGAAGGCTTACGATGCTTAAGCAGAGTGGTGCTATCAAATCTTATTTAGACTCAACACACTCAATCACTATAAGCCGTGAAATCTTCGACAGCAACATCAAAGTAATATACCAGAACACCAACTACACGCATCTTAAAATTGCAGAAGCAGTCCTAATTGACATCAATAAACTAAAAATAAGTATACAACAAAAAATGACAACCTCACTCTCAACCCGGCGCTTAATGAAGGATGAAAACAAAGAAGTAATAAAAACTAGCATTGTAAATATTGACAAAGAAGAGTATGATGCTATCGATGAAGAAAAGGAAACCAACGAAAAAACCAACCAATAAAGAAATCTGACACCTAATTTCCATCTAAGTTTACTTTGACAAAGTGAATATTTTCCTATATAAACTAAATTGCACTGATGATGATTCATTCTGAATCGAAATATGGCCATATTTTCCAGCATGAATTTGGAAAATAAGTTTATTTTGAATTTTAATAAACTAAACGTTCTCCAAAAAACTTTAGTGAGAAAAATCGAAAAAACGAACTACAAACATATTAGCGCCAAACATTCGATAAAATTTATAGAATATTGTATGTATATATATATATATATATATATATATATATATAAAAGTATACATGTATCTATATATTACTATCTAAATATATATAATTATATGTATAAGTATAAGTATATATGTATCTATATATTAATATATATATAATATATATAGACCTAGTAATCTGTCACTTAATGTAAATAAATCATTCGAACTCATCATTCACAATAGCCGTAAGAAAATAACATTGCTTCCAGAACACCCATCAATCACTCACACAAATTAATTAAAAATAGTAGGCATCACATTTACTTCCACTGTTCATGTAGCACCTCATACAATCACATCATCACAAAAGGCTTTCAAACATTTCACGCACTCAAAACACTCCGCTCACATGGTGTCAGAGGCATCAAATTATTTTACATCACTGAATCACTGATCAAATATGCAGCTCCCTCCTGGTGCAGTTTTGTTACACAACAACAACTTCAGCAACTACAATCTCCCATCAAAAAACTGGTTCGCCTCAACTATCTACCTGCAACCTATCCTACCGTCACTCAAATGTTCAACAAACTCGATTCAAGACTGATCAAGAAAGTAGAAAATAACAAAAACCACGTCATCTATCCTCTACTACCACCAATCAAAACTACCACACAAAACCATCAACGCAAGCATAACTATCAAGTCGGCACCCAATCAACATGTCAGAAAAAAGACCTTCATCACAAGAAACCTCAAACATATCAGCACTCAAAAAAACTTTATCATTCACACAACTAGTTTTTTTTATCGGTCACCTCACTAACTCACTAAGTCATTATCTAGTCTATTAACAAATTACTTTATTAAATTGCCTTTTTATGCTATTACTTTATTTTATCGTCAATCCTTTTCATTTTTAAACATTTTTCTTTCTTCGTTTTTTATTTATTTATTTATTTTTTTCTTTACCATTTTATACTATTGCCTTGCATGCTTTAACAGTTTCTGTGTCTGTCAGATCCTTTTTTTAATTTTTTTAAAGAATAAAAAAATATGCAGCTAGATGTTTGAAAAAAAGATTGAAAAAGTTGTTAAAGTTTGACAAATTTTTTTTAGTTTAGTTTAAGAATTTTTGAAATTAGAGATCAACTCCTAGTTGAACTTAGTTTCAGTTTATAAATTTTAAAATATTTATAAATTTTGTGACTTGTTTGAATAAAGTTTTTTATGGTGCACACTCGTGCATATACTGCATATTTGTGAAATATCAAAAGGTATACTACTATATAAATCACACCAATTGACAGATAAATAAAAATTTTAACATATTACTCTTTTTTGAAAAATAACACGCTTTAGCACATGATAGTTGGGGAATTTTAGCACTCATACCATGTCAGCACAACGCATAACGAAGCACTCAAAACATTAAGTCATCATGCCATTCGGTTTTTAACTAATGTAAAATTTTTGTGTTCTCTGTTTCAAATTTTTTGATACTAAATAGAAATTCTTGAATTTTGATTATTAAAAATATTTTGTAATTTCTTCTTGCGGAAATTATCAAACTATTTCAATAATAAACATTTAAATTTTGTAATTAAATAAATTATAGGATTGCGTCACTAATATTGTGCCATCAAATCATTGTAGCTATACGCCATTCATCAAACACGAAAGCGATTGCAATTATACAGCAAAGGACAAAACAAATATAGAAAAAAATTATTATCAAGAAAAATCTGCTAAATTAAATACTGAGACAGAATTGAAGTGTGCATCGTCAAAATTCCCTCCCAAAAATTCATGCTATGGCTCATCTCCTAACAACTGCAACAAAGAAATTACGTTTACATCAAACGTTTCAAAACTTTTTTTTGAAAATGTTTATGGAACACGTCAAAATCATTTTCAAAATAATTTAAACAAGAAGACGAATGACGAAACTTTGACGAATTTTCAAACAATTTCTAAAGTTAATAAAATAAACACATTTTGCGAAAATTCTTGTAAAAATTCAAGTTCGTCAGTTAAACAAAACAACAATATAAATTTTGATATTGAAGACAGTATTCCTCGTAACAGTTCTAATTTAAGATGCGAATCCAAAAATATAGAAGTTGTCTCTCAAATATCTCCAATCTTGAAGCATTCGTTGATTAGTTCTAAAAATAAAGAATGTGGGGTAACGACGTTAGAGAATGAATTATGCAACGGCTTTATGGTGAATTCTTGCGCTGTCCTCAAATGTTCGACCTCTCAACTGCTACCATCTGTAACTAACACATCAACCAACCGTCTTCAAACAAGCAGTAACGACACAAATATTTTAAAGGCAAAAACAAAAAACGTCAGTTGTCCTTTATTAGGAAAACCTGAATTAAATTCAACGATACAGCATTTAAATTTTATTAATTCGAAGAATTTTGATGTATATCTCAATACTTCGAAGAATGTCAGCTCATCAAGCAACCAAATTTCTAATGTTAATTTAGTTAGTAATATTAAGACTTATGAATGTTCTTTGCCAACGACGTTAAATTTGACAACGCAAAATATATCTACAATGACTTTTACTTCAACCCAAGTTAATTTAAGTAATGCACTATTAAAATCTTGCATTTTACCATCATCTAGTTTTTTTAATTTTCATTTAAGTAATCAACGTCAAAAATCAGTCGCTAGTTTAGCAAAAATAAATTGTGATTTGACCCCATTAAATTCAAATACTAATCTCCCGCAAACTTATACTCCACCTATTCGTTTTAATCCTGAATTATGGCATGCAAATTCTAAATCAATAAATTACAGCGACCAAAATATTTTATCTATTTTAAAGCAAACAAAAGCTATTTCAGATTCGACTCATAACTGTGAATCAGTGGGTGGTATAAAAGGCATGTCAAATCTAAATGATAACTTCAGATTTATTAATAGGAATCAACGCAAAATTTGCTTGAACGGAAATAACGAATGCAAGTTTGTTAATGATAAAATCTCTTCAAATTATTTTGATTTCGAAAAAATATCGAAAAGTTTATTTCAATTTGATGAGAGTAAATTGTTGAATAAATATCGACATAATTTGTCACCACATTCCCATTACAATGTTAGTAGCAAAAATGATCATCACACCGCGACTATTTTTGTAAAAGATTTTAAAAATAATTTTTCAGATGTTATCCAAAATAAAAATATAGATAACGCTTCAACCAATAATACTTCAGTAAAAAATGTTCGTTATGCTTGTTCGTGTATCGAAATTTCACAAAATAAAAATTCCGTTTTATTCAACCATCACCCTTCATTTGCACATGCTTCAGCTGAACAATCTTATCAATTATTAAATGAGAATAAGTTTGGTGCGCACTCTAAAATGGTAATGGAATGCGAAAATAAGAAATTATTTTCAAAAATTGAAATTGCCCCGTGTAGGTCATGTCTAAATGTTTCTGATTCAAATGGCGAGTACAAGAAAAAAAATATTTTAAATTGGGAATTGAATGATTATTATGAATATGTGAATTCTAGAAATGAGTTTTCTAAAATTTTTCTATCAAATAATATACCAACAAATGAAATTTTTAATCACTGCATCACTAAAAACTACGTTCGTAAAAATGAAAATGAAGCAGTGTTACCATATTTTGGAGTTAATAAAACTAAGTATAATTTTAGACAGGACAATTTTAAGCCACCTCGACCAGAAAAACTTTGCAATTATGAAAACTCTTTTTCTTATGCTACCTCAATTTATGGCAATGACGCAAATGCAAACATAGACCAAAAAACGTTCAATATTGAACGGAATAATATAGGTGCTCAGCAATTAGCATATAAGGAAACAGATCATGGAAGCTTACAACTATCTTCTTCAAATAACAATTTTCTGTGCAGCAGCAACAATTTTGTTAGTTACGTGAACTTATCAAATCAAGATTTGCCAATAAATAATTTTGGTAAATGTTCGCAAATGTGTTCTAATCCGCTCCATAACAAGGATAACTTGAATGGCGTAATCTGCAATTGTACAGAGTTTAAAAATTGTTAGTTTTTTTTAATAAAATTTTGCCTCATTTTTTTATCTAAATTTTTCAACATTTTTAACGAATAGGTTACGGCAACGATCTATATCGACTAAATGAACCAATAGACAACAGGGTGGCAAATATATCAAATCCAATTGGGATGAACAATGCTGTAAATTTTGAATTAGTTAACGCTGAATCTTTATGTGTGAACAATTTTGCTAGTGAAAAAATAGATAATAACAAAATAATTTCTCGAGACTATGAACTAAAAGATCAACATCGTTTAAATGCACCTAACTGTTCAATCATGCCTATCTCAAATGAAGCCGAGAGTTTCCAGCAAAATAAATTTAGAGAGAAAATATGTAATTTCTACCCGAAGTCTTGCATGAAGTAAAATATAATATTAAGATTAATATTATTTAGAGATTTTATAGAAATAATTCAAAAACGGTTTCAATAATAAAGTATATATATATATAATATATATATATAATATATATATATAATATATGTGAAATATATATACATATATGCATGTATATAAGTGTTCGAGTTTCTGGATAAAAAATAAGAACTACAGAAGCTATAATTTCATTCCGACTTCTTAAATAATGTAGGTATTAAGGTCTACATATTATGATTAATATTACTGAAAGATTTTTTTAAAGTAATTCAATATATAGGTTGGAAGGAGTCAATGTTTTATACAGTATTTTATGAATTCTACCAAATTAAAAATTAATCAATTTATAGTTTGTTTTTTCAATTTTTCTTACTAAAAATTTTGGATATCGTTCGGTTTGTTGTTATGGTGATATTGTGCATACTTATTTATTCATTTGTGACAATTACGCACAATAATAATTTTGTTAAATTATTTTGATAGTGGCTTTGAAAGGTTTTAATTGGCACTATATAAATTTTTTTTAAATAATAATATATAAAACTATATATATATATATATATATATATATATATATATATATATATAGCTTAGGTCTATACTTTACCTTATTACTACAAATCTTAGGCTTATACTTTACACTATTACAAGCAATAAATTATATAAAGACTTTATGAGCAAAGAGAATGAACAGAACAAAGATGTAATAAATAGACAGCACCAAGATAAAAAAACGGACAGAACCAAACAGAATAAAAGCACTCTGCACAGGACAAAGCAGAATAAAAGCGCTATATTATTAAAAAACAACAATGAAACGACATAATCCTTTACTACAAAAAGCATATGTATATATATATGCATATATGCTCGACCACTTTAAACCTCTTTCTACTGAAGATTTAAAAAAACTATCGTCGAATGGGAAATCATGCAGTCTTGATCCGCTCCCAACATTTTTTCTAAAAGAACAATTGGACTTGCTCTTGCCATTTTTGTGCCACCTGGTCAACAGCTCCATCCATATGTCAATCATGCCAAGATCTCAGAAAACGGCTATAGTAAGACCTAAATTAAAAAAGTCTGGTCTCACACCTGATGCTGTCAACAACTATAGACCGATATCGAACCTAACATTTATATCAAAGATTATAGAAAGAATAGTCGCTCGTCAACTTCTTTTATGCCTGAACAAAAATTCATTGCTGCCAAAAGTTCAGTCAGGTTTTCGTCAAGCTCACTCTACCGAAACGGCGATCCTCAAAGTGGTTTCTGATGTATGTGATGCAGTTGACATGGGCAATATAGCCATGTTTGCACTGCTGGATGTTAGTGCTGCCTTTGATACTGTTGATCATGATGTTTTGCTAGAAAGACTCTCAGTCTCATATGGTGTAACAGGGGACGCACTTAGCTGGTTTCAGTTCTATTTGTCAGACAGAATACAGGTTGTCAACGTTGGGGAAGGGGCAGACACAGCTATGTCAGAAATTACCTGCGGTGTTCCACAGGGCTCCGTCTTTAGCCCTCTGTTATATATACTATACACTGCCGATGTAGTCAGCGTTGTGGAATCATCAGGTGCTCGTTGCCATTTGTACGCTGACGACATTCAACTATACGGATCTGGGTCTGCGAGCTTGTCCTATCAACTCTCTACAACTGTCACGGATGCTGTAAAAGCAGTAGGAGAATGGATGACAGTAAATAAATTAAAGCTAAATATCAACAAAACGCAATACATGTAGCTAGGAACACCTCATAAACTCCTTCAGGTTGACGGGTTCAAAGATCCAGTGATAAATCTAGATGTGGTTATGGATCCAGACTTTTCAATGAAGTCTTATGTAAATAAACTATGCAAGAAATGTTTTTTCCAGCTACAAAAACTAAGAGCCATCAGACGATATTTGACAGTTGACTATACAAAAGCTCTTGTTTGCAGTTTCATTTGTAACAGGATTGATTTTTGTAACGTGATGATGTATGGGATCAACCTTTCGCTACAAGATGATGTTCAACCAGTTTTGAACGCCGCTGCTAGACTGGTTGCTGGCGTATCAAGGTTTGATCAAGGTTTGAGTAACATTTAAACTAGCTCTACTTGTAAGAGATTGTTTGACTGGAGATGCAACAATCTACCTGAGGTAACAGATTCATTCAGTATCAGAGATTCAATATAGGGGTCGACTACGATCATCAAGCCGCGGTGACCTACACATTCCTAAGTTCATATCTTCTCATTTCGGAAAAAGAAGATTTTTAGTAGCATCTGCCCAGATTTGGAATGCGTTGCCTGCTGATCTAAAGAATTTCAACATCATGAGTCGAAGTGAATTCAATAAACAGCTAAAGACTCATTTTTTCATCATTCAACAGCGAAGAAAGTAGAGAGCGCTTCTGAAGTCAACTCACAAGAGGCGCTATACAAATTCTGCAATACAATATACAATATATATATATATATATATATATATATATATATATATATATATATATATATATATATGTATGTGTGTGTGTGAATTATTTGATCAAATTTACGAAATTTTTAGTTTTTTTTTTTGAAAGTTTACGAATGAGCTTTTTAATATTTCTAACAGTAAATTTATAATTATTATCTAATTTATTAAAACTAATAAAAAAAATTGTTGGTACATATTGAAGCATATAGTCTATATCTTGATTTTACTCGTCATCAGCGCTTATATAGGGATATGTCAACGTTTTGCAATTCTCTGTGTGTGCAGAGTGCTTTTATTCTGCCTTCCCTGCAAAGTGCTTTTATTCTACTTTGTCAAATTTTTAGTTTTTGAAAGTTTATGATTTAATTTTATAATGATTATCCGATTTATTAAAACAAATAAAAAAATTGTTGGTGTTCATGGTGAAGCTTATAGGCCATATTTCGATTTTGCTCATCATCAGCGCTTATATAGCGCTTTTATTCTGCTTTTTCCTGTGCAAAGTGTTTTTATTCTGTTTGGTCCTGTCCGTTCATTTTATCTTCTCCATTTATTACATCTTTGTCTGTGTAGCTGACAAGTGCATCTTTCAAGAGGGTATATAAGCTCATATATTAGATGATTTCTCCCCAGGTTTGAATTTTGGGGAGGCATGCAATTATTCTTTATTATCAGGTTTGCCGGTTTTGCATTCTGATAATGAGAGGTGCTAAGATTTACTTTACCGTCTGTATTTCTAGGCTTCACTTTTTTGAAAACAATTTTCTTTAGAACTGAATCGTTCGTTTTAAATGCGATTGACATGTAGTAGCTCAATATTAACCAATTTTTGAGGTTATAACATTGATGTCAGATCGTCAAAGTTTATAGCAATATGTGTGTATATATATATATATATATATATATATATATATATATATACATATATATATATATATATATATAATTTGGTTGAATGTTCTTGCCCATTTTGTATT